GGAAATAGGTTAGCTTTTATAAGGTATAACTGTCTCAACTGTTATTGTAAGATAACATTGAGAAATATTAAGTGTTGAACTATGGGCTGTCCAAGCTCCTCTCTCAACTGTGATAAAGGATGATGATCTCAATTTGAGATTGTAGTATCACTGGCAACTGTGTCTGTTTTTTTTCTTTAAATGCACTGCTTTTCAAAGGAATTTAATGGCATGCATGCTTAAGTAAACTAAGATACATGCTTACAGCATTGCAAAATGAAGTCATGGTTGAACACATGGTGCCGCCTGCATGTTGTCTGAATTTTTGCTGATGTGCTCAACTTGAATTATGAGTTAGAGAAAGCTTGAGTGTGTTTGCAAGTGGTATCATATCATTTAGCCATAACATTGAATGACTAATTGAAACTGTGTTGACTTGATCCCATCTGATCAGCACTGTTACCTGAATAAGATGAAAACACAGGGAGGTTTCAAACTTGGGAGAGTTCCTGGGACAGGGTTCAGACTGAGCTGGGTGGCTCCGGTAAGCAGCAGGTGTCTGGAATTGCTGAGATTCAGCTTGGGACAAACCTAAGGGAGCATGGTGAGTACTATTTTTCCCCAAATTGGGATGTTATATAGATATTTTCTGGTCTACTGTAGATCCCTTTACACCCTAAGCTCCAGCTAGTCTGTTCCACTACTTGATGATCTCTAATACCTAGAACATTTTCCCAGTATTTATCCTTAGTCGCTTGTACACTGAAGACATGAATTCTGCTGTGTGTTCCTAATTTTCTATTTGGGTGTTTGATTTTTCTTTCCCATCTATAGTATTTCATAAGTATCTTTGGCCTGGTTTTTGGAACATTTTTCCAGTTTATAAAGATTATTTTAAACATTTATCTTGTCCTCTTAAGTGTTGGCAGACTCTGCCTGTTATCATCCAGAAGTCTTGCAATTTACTGTTTCATTGTCCAAGTCACAACTGAATACATAGAAGCGACCCATATCCAGGACATTATGATTTGACAGAGGACTATTAATTAATAAACTAAGTAAAATTTATACTACTGTCATCTGGGCTATGTTCCTCTCTTATGACAGTGTCATATAGGACAATGTCAAAAGGCATCTTAGATATGTTACACCCACTATCTCCCTTATATTTACAAGCCCAGTTAACTCATCAAAGAAGAAAACTGCACTGCACTGACAGATTGATGATGATGTTCTGTATTACTCAATATTTGTTTAGTAATTTGTTTTGTTGTCTGTCTGAGTACCTGTAATTTCTGAGAGTCACCTTTTTACCATCTTAAAACCAGAGATCTGATGTGCCTCCAAGGTCTCTGTCTTGAATTAATTCCTCAAGATAATCGTGGGCAGTTACAAGGTTTCCCCGGGCTAGTTCCTTTGAGGCACTCTAAGGTAAATTTCAGCAGGGTCTGCTGTCCTGACTGTATGGAACTTACCAAATGTCTTGTAGTTAGTTCTTTGCATTTTCTGGATCGTATTCCTATGGCGCATTTGGCATCTTGTTTCTGAGAAATCTCAGTGTTTATTTAAAAGGCCAGGACGTCCCTTGTGAACAGGTTCACTAGAGGAAAGCCTTCCAAATACCGAGTGAACCATGTCTGATTTCAATAGTAGGCAACCTGAAACAGGGTCTTTAGAGGATATATGATCTGTTCTGTTTGACTTTCATTTTAAAATAAAGTAAGTCTTCAGCTGTCACAATTGAAAGAAAAAACTTTAAACTTTGAATACACTTAATGCAAAAATTTGTAAGTCTATGAAGAAACTGAAAATACAAAGTGAACTACCCTATTTGTGTTGATCAAGGGGATCGCAGAGGACAAGTGTACAAAACCCAAGAGCTGGGGGAGAAGGGCCCAGAGAAAGCCCTCTTGAGCACAGTTAGACCAGATTGTTTTTACAGATCCTCCTTCAGAATTTAGCAGAGTGCGTAGAAGAAAAATCTAGGTGGAAAAATACTCTTGGCAAAATGGAAATTTTATTAGAAATGTCTGTTTTCTATTAAGTAGCTGAGGGTCTTGTTGTTCTTTTGAGAGAGATTTTGTGTAGTTTGTCAGTGGAAGCTTTTTTTTCAAATTTAGATCGTTATTTTTTTTAACTAAAATGAATTTGCAATTTGTTTTCCCTCACGTTTTTCATGAAAAACTTGAGCAAGAAGTAATAGTTTGACTGGCTGACTTCTCTGGACTTGCCTTTCAAATTTAGATTGTTATTTTTTTTTAACTAAAATAAATTTGCAATTTGTTTTCCCTCACATTTTTCATGAAAAACTTGAGCAGAAGTAATATTTTGACTGGCTGACTTCTCTGGACTTGCAAGTTCAGATTCCACCTTCTCATGCTTAGTCTTCTGCTTGCAGTGCTTGCTAAGGTATAGCTTCACCCACTTTGAGGTAGGCTTTAGCAGGACGATGCCACAGCCATCGTGGTGCAGTCAGCATCGGGGCTGCACACACTGGCATTTGGAAGCTCTGCTTTTGGCCAGTGAGGTGGTGAAGGAAATTACGACAAGGAAACTGATGTGAAATGAGAGTGTAAAAGGTAAGGACTTGGGCTGACCCAGACTTTGCAATCTATTCAGTGAAGAGGTTGCAATCATAGGTTGGTTTTCATCAGCTCAGGGTTTTACGATTCTCTGTATTTCCCGAGTTACTGTGTAGAATTTTTTCTGTAATTAGCAAGATGTCAGTTGAGAGTAGTGATTTGGCCTCTGACCAGCAGGGTCTCAGTATTTCTAGCTTCATGTTTTAAAATGAACCAAGCGTATAAGGAGACAATGCATTTCTTAAGTTACCGCAGGCTCACTAGTGAGCAGGTGTATCTGCCTTCGTTCCTGTCCAGTTTCAAAATAAATAGTTCAATGATAATGTGCTTTTTCAAAATAGAAAATGGGAGGGCCCTTTCGCCTTTAGTTTACAGGCCTGGATAGCACTCTGAAATGCGTTCCTCTGTGATGGTAGATTAGATGATGCCTAAACAAATTTAAATAATGTTTACATGTTAATGAGACGTTGCCCTCAGGAGTCTTTAACAAGATGGTTTTTTTAGAGGAGCTTTCTGTCTGCGTCCTACTGATCCCTTCCCTAACATCTGCCTGTTGCTGGCTGAACTATGGTGATCCTGGAAGTAGGAAAGGGGAACAGTTAGATTTCAAAGTGTGCAAGTGCCTTGCACATCTCATAGCAGCCCACTGGTCTTCACTCCTGTTGCTAACTTAGCATGAAATATGAGATATCTTGTTGTTCTGCTGTTGTTCTTTTGCTTGTGTTTTTTTATTTTACCTAATTTTTGCAGGTTTGGACCCAGAGTTTTAGCCAGGGTATTAACAACAATCAGACTTTTAAGTGTAAAGGACCAAAGGTTGATCTACCAAGTTGGAAATGTTTTTTGATTTATCAAAAATAATTACATTCTTTCTAGGAAATAATTATTTCTTTCCTATCTAAAAATTACAATTGTAATAGTAAAGAAAAACAGGAGATAAACAGTAGGTGTGTTCTAGGGTTGTCTGTTATTGTACTGATTATCCCAGTTTCTCACTTCATTTCCCTGAAGCGCTCTACTAAATTTTGAGATTGGGAGGGGTTAAAAAAAAATTAGGGAGGGGGACTCTCCTACCTGATAAAGTTACGTGAATCTGTAATTTCAAAGTTAATAGGAACAACAGAAACAACAAAAATCTGCCCAGGAACTTTATCCACACTAATTCTTTCTTAAGAAAGAAATTTGGTTCTTAATTAGGAAAAGTGGATATTGGAAAAAGTTCAGAATAGTAAGATTCGTGTAATAGTGTTGGGTAGATAAGGCAGAATAGGGCATTTCTTTACCATTTGTAGGTTATCACGTATGTTGGTTCTTCACTCTGGCCTATACTGTTGCTTTTTTGGGGGAACCAATCCTGGACACAGATAATTGTAGTGTCGTTAATTTAGAAAAAAGCTTTCAGATGGAGATAGGAGTGGGAAAAGGGTATTTTCTTGTACTGTAAGCTATTTAGGATAGGGACTTCCTTTTGCTTCACACAAGGAAATGGTATTCTGCTTCTTGCGGAGTTCCTTGACCATTGTTTCAATGCAAAGCAGTAATGGCAATGTTAAGAATAATCTGGTTTATCTATGCCTCTGAGTCTGAAGTCATCCTGTGCCACTAGAAGGCAATATAAAAGCTCTGCTGTGTATAACTTCAGCATAGTTTGCCAGAATGACTGCAGTATTGTGTTTATACTATGCAGATTTTCACGAGGATACATTCTTGGCTGATAGCTGAATCGCTGGCCTGGAGAAACAGTTACCTGCTTTGCATCCTTAACCCCAGTCTTTGATTTCCCTAGTTTTGCTAGTCCTTTTAGATCAGTTGGAAAAAAAAAAAACAAAATCCATCTTGGTAAACCCACACTGAAAAGCTGCTTTCCTTATTTAATGTGTTTGGCAAATACTTCTTGCACAGGCCTGTTTATTCTAAAACTGTAGTAAATGTGTTTCCCAATATGGTATTGTTGAAATGCAGCAACTGTGACACTGATCACAGCACAGGAGAACACTGCCCATCAGTGTGAAGGAGGGCATTTTAACCTAAAGGACCTGGGCACTGCTTTTGAGAACAGGGCCAGGAACTGCTTGTGACATACAGATAGAGACTTAGGGACTTTTCCTCCTGAAGTCTCAAGTACAGTGAAATATATCCTGTACAATTTTTGCATGCATTTCTTTTGCATTTTTTCTTCTGAAAAAGCTTTGTGTCTTCAACTTTCATGAAACTACCAGGCCCTTCTTCTGGCGAGTGGTCGAATAACCAGATCACCAGAAGACTTGTGTGTTCAGTTTGCTGTGCTTGCACTGGAAACTCCTGGAAAACAATGCCTCGTACCATGTTTGTACTGTGGATATCACAGCAGATTGAGTTGCCTAACATTGGTGCTGATGAGCAGGTTAATGTAGCTTTGCAAAGAGCTCCAATAACCCCTAA